AGTGTAACATAACTTAATAGTACTCTCTAATTTCACTGTCTTCTGTCTTTTTCTGAATCATCTTACTACTGTCTTTCTCTGATTCTCCCTCTTTTTCTGTGTCTCTCTTTTCTCTTTTTTAAAATTAAATCTGTTGGGGTAACATTGGTTAATAACATTATAGAAATTTCAGGTGTACAACTTTATAATACAACATCTATTTATTCTATTGTGTGTTCTTCTGTCACCTTGTGTTTGATCCCCTTTACCCTCTTTGTCCTCCCCCACCCCTTTTTCCTCTAGTAACTACCTTTCTGTTGTCTGTTTCCATGAGTTTTTTGTTTGTTTGTTTCATATCCCACATGTGAGTGAAATCATATGGTTCTTGTCCTTTTCTGTCTGACTTATTTCACTTAGCATAATATTCTCAAGATTCATCCATGTTGTTGCAAATAGCAGTATTTTATCTTTTTTAAAATACATTTATATATATAGAGAGAGAGATATCTATGAGAGAGAACCATTGATTGACTGCCTCCTGCATGCCCCCCAATGAGGATTGAGCCTGCAACCTGGGCATGTGCCCTGACTGGGAATCAAACCTGTGTGACCTCTCAGCGCATGGGATGATGCTCAACTGAGCCACACTGGCTGGGGCAGTACTTTATCTTTTTTATGGCTGAGTAGTATTCAATTGGATATATATACCACATTATCTTTATCCAATCATCCATCAAAGAACATCTTGGCTATTATAAATTATGCTACAGTGAATTTAGGGATACATATATCTTTATGAGTAAGTGTTTTCAATACTTTTTGGGTAGATACCCAGAAAAGGTGTTGCTGGGTCATGTGGCAGCTCTATTTTTAATTTTTTGAGGAAATTCCATAATGTTTTCCATAGTGGCTGTACCAATTTACATTCCCATCAGCAGTATATGAGGATTCCCTTTTCTCCTCATCTTCTCCAACACTTGTTATTTCTTGTCTTATTGATAATACCATTCTAATGGGGTTCAGGAGGTATTTTATTGTGGTTTTGATTTGCATTTCCCTTATAGCTAGTGATGTTGAACATTTTCTCATATGTCTATTGGCTATCTATATGTCTTCCTTGGAAAAGTGTCTATTCATGTCCTCTGCCCAGTTTTTAATGGGATTTTGTTGTTGTTGAGTTGTCTGAGTTCTTTATATATTTTGGATATTAGTCCCTTATCAGAGGTATTGTTTGCAAATATCCTCTCCCATTGGGTTGGTTATCTTTTTGTTTTGTTCTTTCTCTGTTTTTCTCTCTTTACTCCTCTGGCTTACTCTCCCCCTTTCTCCCTCTCGCTCCCAATTTCTTTTTAATTTTCTTTTCTTTATTGATTTTAGAGAGAGAGGAAGGGAGAAGGAGAGAGAGATAGAAACATCGATGAGAGAGAACATGGATTGGCTGCCTCCTGTGTGCCCCCCTCTGGGGATTGGGCCCACAGCCTGGTCCTGTACCCTGACCAGGAATGGAACCAGCGACCTCTTGGTGCATGGGTTGTTGCTTAACCACTGAGCCACACGAGCTGGGCTCCTCCTCCCAATTTCTGACGACATTAATTTTCAGGTTTTTCCCCCTTATCCTGAACTTGCTTGATATATTGGCACTCAATGGTGGCTACTGAATGAATGAATCCAGTAGTTTTAAAGAATCCTATAAGCTATTATTATTACTTTTTAAAATATTTTTATTTATTGATTTCAGAGAGAGAGAGGAAGGGAGAGGGAAAAGAAATAGAAACATCGATGAGAGAGAATATCGATTGGCCGCCTCCTGCATGCCCCCACTGGGCACTGGGCCCACAACCTGGGCATGTGCCTTGACTGGGTATTGAACTGGTTACCTCTTGTTGCATGGGTCAATGCTCAACCGCTGAGCCACACCAGCTGGGCCTATAAGCTATTATTAAGTGGACACTCTGCCAGACAACCTGCAGATTACTATTTGACTTCTATTTATAAAAAACAATTTAGAAGAGAACCTAGGAACTGTGTAATATATAGAGAAGACAAAATAACCACAAAATACAGTTTAGACAAGTTAGTATACTATTTAAGCAGTATTAGGTTAATTGCAATTCTAAGAAGAGTGGTTTGTGCAAGGGAAAATCATGCCTAACTCACCTTTAGAATGATTGGGATGTTTTAATATGAGTACTTGGAGAAATCAGTAGATACAATTTACTTTGATTTTTTCACAGACTTTTGATAAAGGTTCACATTGAAGGCCCACTTTGGGGTTGGGAATGTGATTGGAGTGTCCAAGGAAGAGGTGGGGTATATAAAGCAAAAAAGTGGTAAGAAACGAGGTAGAAGTAATAGGAAAGGTTTAGATCAGGTAGGCCTTGTTAGGCCACGGTAAGGATTTGGGACTTTTTTGTTTTTGTTGTGTTGCCTTTGGAAAGTTTTCATGATGTTGTCTGATTTATAGCTGTAAAGGATCTGGTTGATGTGAGAACAGACTACACACAGTAGAATGAGTAGAAGCATCATGACCTTCTAGGCTGTTGCTGTAGGTAATGCTGGCCTGGCCTCAGTGACAGTAATAATAGTAATGAGAAGTGTTTAATCCAGAGTAAGATAGAGGGAACAGAAATTTACTGATGATTGGCTCTGTGGTGTGAAAACAAGAGTCAAGGATGGTTTAAATGTTTTTGGCTTGAGCCACTGAATGAATACAGCTCACACTGCTCCTGGTACGTCATAGTCTATTATGGGAGGGGCTATTTCATGGAGGTTATCTTTGAAGGGTAGGGAGATTAGTTAGGAGGCTACTGCAGTCATTCTGGAAAGAAGGAAAAGGCCTGAATCTGCACAGAGATTATAGGTATGGAGAGGCATTCAGAGGGCACAGACTTGAGAGACATTTAGGAAGTAAAGAAAACACCACTTAGGAAAACAGTTTACAGTTTTTTTGTTTTTGTTTTTAAACTAAAATGAAGATAGCTGAATCTTTTTCCTAGTAAGTCTACTTATATTCTAGAGCAGGGGTTGCCTAGGCCTTGTTTTTGTATTGCCCTAGAGCTTAATTAAGACTATTTCTTAAATTTTTAAATGAATTTTAAAAAGGGGGAAAGATGTGTGACAGAGACCATTTGTGGCCCTCAAAACCTAAACTATTTACTATCTGGCCCTTCACATTGTAAGTTTGCCAACCTGTGCTTTAGCTCAGTGGCTTTTAAAGAGTGGTTTAACTGCTGTTAGAGCGGCGGCAGCAGCACCAGGAAACTTGTTAGAAATGCAGGTCCTCAGGCCTCAACACAGATTTTCTGAATTAGAAACCCGGCCCAGCAATAAGTATTTTAACAAGTTCTCTAGGTGATTCTGATGCATGTTAATTTCTGAGAACCAATGCTCTTGAGAAACTTTTTACCTGTGCACCACGATACATGGTAAAGAATAACAGCACGGTACATAAAAGCCCCAAACTGGAAACCACCGAAGGTCTCCTGGGAGTTAATACAATGAAAGTATTTTATAGCTTGTGGTTAAGGGCATGGAGTATGACAGCAGACTGTGTTTGAATTCCAGCTCCACCAATTTAGTATCTCTGTGACCTTGGGCAAGTTACTTGTCCTCTGTAAACCTCAGTTTCTCATCTGCAAAATGGGCATAAAATAGTTAACTACTTTATGGGGTTATTGTGAGGCTTAAACAATTATGTAATTAGAAGAGCGCCTGGTACATAAGTATTAGGCTTAAAGAGCAATCTGCATATTATGATGCTTTACGGAAAAACATGTCAAAGTTCATTTCATAAAAGTGATGGTCTGCCTATGTATTTTGCACATAACAAAATGAGTAAGCAGCCTAAGATAAAAACTTGGTCGATTTTGGAGATTCAAATGTTGACATTCCCTCTGTACACCTGTTTTCACGTGTAAAAAATATTAAAATTGTTCTCATAGGACTGTAAAGAAAACTGATGCAATGTATATGCCCATACTATATTTGGTACATGGGCATTTAATAAATGTGTTTTGTCCTTTCCTAATTGCCTTTTCATTTCTTTCACCATTCCCTCAGCCCTTCCTTCCAAAATTCTTCTGCTGACCTGATATTGAGAAACATTATTAGAACTAGGGTGCAAAGTGGCTTCCTTGACTATAAGATTCGGCTTTTTCCACGAGTCAAGGTCAGAAGAGTCAGTATCTAGTGTTTTCCCAGCTACGCCTAGGGACCAAGCCCGGGTCTAGATCTAGGACAGGACTGTAATCCTGTATCTCCTGGGATTTCAGCCTTTTAGCTGCCTTGATATGTAAAATTCTTGGTATGTATTTAGCAGCACCTAAATACAAAACGGATACACAAAGAAATATTCTTTCCCCCTCGTTGGAAGCCACGTTATATTTTTTCTACATCCCAGAGCCTAGCACCCAGTAGGCCAGTAATGTGTGTGTTGCTTTGAGCTGTTAGGGTGAATTGGATCTTTTCGGTGGAGGTTAAAACCTCCGTTTCCTAGGAAGGGTTATTAATAAACAATACAGGTGAGTGTAGAGCGCAAACAGCTGAAAGCACTGGCTGCATTTTACGCTCATCTAGAGCAGCAAACAACCTGCAGGCACTAAGTTCGAAAAGAAAATTACTAAATTCCCTCTCTCTTAACATTAGCAATTAAAAGGAACCAGAAATATCGGTCTCCGAAAACAGTACAAAGGAGACGGCGCTGCAGGCCAACTGGCTCCTGTTCTGGCGCGATCTCGAAGGGCTGTGAGGCCAGAGCCTTCAGGGAGGAGAAAGGCAGCCTCCTTGTGACGTCAGATCAGCGGACTCTTGTACCGGCTTCAGGCCGGTTCCGGTTCCCCGGCTTTCCGGGCGCGAGAGTACGTGAGCGCGGCGGTATTCTGCGCGTGCTCCGCAGAGGGATGCGAGGAGGTTGGGTCCAGCTTGCGAAGGAGATGTGTGATTGGCTGAGGCCGCGCTGGGGGGTTCCCCAGCCCTTTCGGCAGGGGTAAAACAATAAGAGGGGGCGGTGGCAAAGGGGGCGGGACGTCCGTGTTCCTGGTCGCCTGCTGCAGCGCCTGGTGCCTGGGAAGAGCCGGTGGTGAGGGGACGCGCTCGCGGCTGCCCTGCTTCAGAGGCTTGACGTTTGTTGGAGGGCGGGGACGGCTGGCGAGAAGAATCCGCTGCAGCCGGTTCTCTGCGACTCCTGCTGACCTCCGCGCGACGTGCCCGCCGCCGCTGTTGGTTGGAGGTGTGTAAGGGGGCCGGGAAGGGAGATCGGTGTGGTGGTCGGAAGGGGACATTCCCTTCCCGCGCGGCGGCTCGAGGCAACCGTCCACAGCGTGAGCCCGGGTGTCGGAGGGTTAGTGGCGGAGAGACATTGCCCTTGCCGGCTGCCAACGCTGTCGTGTACGCGGGAGCGAAGCCGAGCGTTTCCTCAGGTGAGGGATGGGAGGCCGCGTGGGAAGGGAGGTGAGCGGCCGGCGTGGTGCGGTCGGAGGGCACAGGTGGAGCCGGTGTGTGTTGGGGGTGAGGTGGCGAGCTGGGAAGGGGGACGCAGTCGTTCCCGAAGGCGTGCTGGTGGAGGCTTAATCCGGGCGGTAAGGGAGTGGGCTTTCCGGAGAGGATGTGTTGGGCGGGGAGCCCACCAGCCTGGTTCCGATTCATTTGCAGCTCTTACTCCTGGTATCGTGCGGGCGGGGAGGCAGTCGCCGCCCCGCCCGTGGGGGAGGGGAAAAGAGGTTGTGTCGGCGGAGGCCGAAGCGACGCATTTGCGAAAGTAGAGGCCTCCGGGCACCATTTCTGTGCACCGAAACAGAATCCGGGTGTGAAGGCAGCCGCTGCGTTGCTTCCCCGGTGCCTGGTGTTCCGCGGTCTTTGACCCCCTCTCGGGTTTATCCCCAACGTGTTCAGAAACTGGAGCTACATATGACGTGCGCGTCTTCGTGTCCGTTTTATGTAAACGATCCTTTATTGACCCAGGAACAGAAAGGATGTTTGAGTGCTTTGGGGAATGGATGTTGTTCTTTTGCGGAGGGGTGCAGGAAAGATAAGTAAAGGGCAGGAACCTAAGCTTCCCTAGAGTGTTGATTTTTGTTAGTCGAATCTGGTCAAATTTTACCTGCGTCTTTAAAAGCAGATTTCTTTAGATGGCCCTCTGCCGCCTTGGAATGAATATAGATTTGCATCTATAATTTCCTGCATAGATCAGTATTTCCCCCTCCTCCCTTCAAGATCTAACTAATCTTTAAGCTAAAAATTTTTGGAGGGTAGGTGTCATTACTCTCATAAACAAACAAACAAAAAAACCCCCACGTGCACCGAAGGTGAAATAACAGCAAAATTGTTTCCAGTAATCCCTCCATATGATTGTTGTGATATTAACTTGGGTTAAAATACTGGTTTTTGGTTCAAAACTCCACACCTCGTTTTAATCTTCCAAGTGTTGGCATTGCATGTACCTGGTTCCATTTACAGTGAACCATTTACTGCTGTTAGGGAGCCCGGGTAAGAAGATGGGAATTCCTTGTCCAGCTCCATATTTGGCAGTTAATATAGCCTTAGGCATGTGAGCAAAGTTTCTGAGTAAACATTTGGCCCTGTTAGTATCCAGTGGTCCTTTCGGTGTCCAAAATTTCTGGTCTTAAAAAATAGACGATATGATTGTTTGAACTTATTAGAACTGAATTACCTACCTCCTTTTGTGATATTTATTACCTTGCTGTTTAAAAAAATGTTTATAACTAAGTCGTGATTTAATATCTAAATGCTTTATAATTCTGAAAAGTTATCAGGAATTATAGGTAGGATAAGGACCTCAAATGGATTGCTTACTAGTTGTTGTTCCAACTGCGAATATTTGAGGTTGAAATATTAGTCAATTGTGAACATGTATTAAGAGTGGATAGAAACAGAATGCTTGTGGGGTAGATGGGGATCAAAAGTAGAACCACAGAGCCCTGCCGTTGTGGCTCAGTGGTTGAGCATGGACCCATGCACCAAGAGGTCACAGGTTGGATTCCTGGTCAGGGCACATCCCCAGGCTGTGTACCAAATCCCCAGTGAGGGGCATGCAGGAGGTGGCCAATTGATGTTCTCTCTCATCGATGTTTTTCTCTCTCTCTCTTTCTTCCTCTCTCTCAAAAATCAATAAAGAAAAAGTAGAACCACAGAGAAAAAATGTCTATAATAATTTGTTAGTCTATTGAGTGTTCATTTTACAAGCAGCTGAGCACTTGAATTGCCAGTAGACAACTGGTGAGCTTGAATAATATTGGCACTGTTGGTAGCAGGAACTATTCATTACCTATATTTCACTTATGAGAGATCAAAAGTGAAAATTTCCATGGCAGTGACTGAAAATCTGTAAATACTAATAGTGTCTTTAGATTTTTAACAGCTTCCTTATCCTGCAGAATTACTGCTGTTGATTACCCATTATCAGGATTGAAAGTTCTTTCCTAGGTTGCTTTAAATAAGACTTTTCCTACATAATTTATGCTGAGAGGGGTATGAGGATAGAGAATGACTACTTTTCACATCAGATTTTGAAAGGTACAAACTTAAGGGTTGTTTCTGAACTTTATTTAGTAGAATTTAATTGACATACATGACTTAGTTACTCTCCACTGGTGGACACTGGTTTAAGAGCCTGATAAGGCCAATTGGTTCTTCTCCCAGAACTCTGGATTGGCTCAAAAGCAGTGGTATCTCAGTTTCTTGGCTGCTTTGTCTCAGCTTATTGTTTTATTTCTATATATTTTACCCTATTTTGATATACCTTTGTGTAGTATGTTGAGATGACTCTTGGATTTCCTATTATTTTACTGTCTCCTGCTTTTTAACTTCTACCAACAATATCAAATAAGTGAACAGTTTTTGTTTTGTTGTGTCCTTGGCTGGTCTTCCAAAGCAGTTGTTTTTAACAGGTATAACGAAAACATCACCAGGGGCAGGAGTCCTGATTTCAGATTGTCTTTCACAGAACTGTAACGAGGGACCTTGAACTCCTTCCTTTTCTTAGGCTCTCTAAACATCAGTTTCCTTTTCTGTAAATGAAACTAATATCCTATCTATTTCAAGGAGATAAAGGAACATGTAGATTACTTGTTAAACTTGAAAACATAATATAAATATATGCTTTTATTTTTGTTGGACAGCATTTTCTCTCTCAATACTTGGTCACTTTGAATAGTTTCTAAGCTTAAAAACTCGTCTCCCTACCTTTTATTGTTTATTTCCACCACTGGTGCTTGGATCTTCATTGTGACTACCCTAACAAATTAAAGGTCTTTACTCTAAAGAGAGAGAGAAATTGCTGTTTAATTGGTAAAGTCATTTTGAACAAAAACCCATCTGGAATTTTGAAAGGTTCTAGTTTTAATTTGGGATTAGCTATAGAGAATGGTTGAGTGAGAAAGGGCCTGGACCTGACTTGTGTGAGCCCAGAGTGAGGGGTTCCAGAGGGGAAAGGGAGTTAAGTATCTGATAGTAGAGATAAGCTGTGTCCTAGCATAGATATAGCCTTTGGTAATACAGTTTTTGGGTTGTTGGTTTTTTTTTTTTTTTCTTGGTAAAAGAACGGCATCCTATTAGTAGAGATCTTATTCTTTTTATAAAAAGCAAGATATAGTACATATAACTTGACAGTCCTGAAAAAAAAATTTTGTAGATTTTTAATTTCCCTAAATGTCATTTTCTTGTGGTTTCTTGATGGTCTTTTTAAAATTTTGTTTTGTTTTTTAAATAAGATAACATGGTATCTCAACCTCTTGGCAATTTTCATTTTGGCTATTTTCTCCAAGCATTTGAAATAGCCACCAAAGTGTGACATGAATTTTTATGTATTTACAATGAGTGAATCTTCTCTCCCCCCCCCCCCCCCCCCCGAATAACTTGAGCAAAGATGCCTCATTTCTTATTAATAGATTAGATGGTGGTCAGGGTAGTCAGGACACTCCAGGCTCCTCAAAGAGTGAATTTTTGATTGTGCATTTTGATGCTTATTTACAGCGGTGGTGGTTGCAGCCAGATGTTTGAAGTTAACGATTATAATTAGATTTTATGATTATATGAAGATTTAGCTATTTTATCACTGGATTATTATAGTTATTTATTTATAGTTAATATAAAATTTATTTATAGTTATTTATTAACATAACTTTTATTAACATAACTTTTGTTGTTGTTGTTCAGATATAGCGGGAGGGAGGGAGAGAGAGAGGGAGAAACATCGATGTGAAAGGGACACATCGAGTGGCTGCCACCCACACAACCCATCCAGGGCCGGGGACAAACTGCAACTGAGGTATATGCCCTTAGCGGGAACTGAACCCGGGTCTCTGTGGACCGCAGGCCACCGCTCTAACTGCTGAGCCAAACTGGCCAGGGCTTAACATAACTTCTTTAATAAAAATGGAGATGTCATTTGAGATCCCTGAGATTAAAGAGAATTGATGGACTACAAACTTACTTTTTGTACTTGAAAACTGGTCTGATAATTATTTTGCTGTAGTAGCAGATCTAAAAAATTAATTTCATTGTCTTGCCCAAGTGCATACCTTGCTGTAACATTGTGAAATCAGACCTTAGTTACAAATTTTATGCTCTGTTTTTCAGTGTCCAGTCTCCCCCCCACCCCCTGTGGTTTTATAGTCTTTGACAATATATATATTTTTTAATTTTAAAGTTACTTTTTTTCTTTTTCTTTTTCAAATTATTGACAGTATCACAGATGTCCCCCCTACCCCTCACCCTTTGACTTACTCCACCCAGCCCCTGCCCCTCCCCAGGCCTTCACCACACTGTTGTCTGTGTCCCTGGGTTTCACATATATGGTCTTTCATTCATATATCCCCCCCCTCTCCAAGTCTGTCAGTCTGTTCCATGCATCCATGCCTCTGGGCCTATTTTGTTCATTAGATTTCCACAAATAGGTGAGATCATGTGATATTTGTCTTTCCTGTCTTATTTCACTTAGCATAATAACCTCCAGGTCCATTCATGTCTCAAAGAAAAAGAAATCATCTTTTTTTTTTTCATTACAGCCACATAGTATTCCATTGTATAAATGTGCCATGTCTTTTTTTTTATCCATTCATCTACTGATGGGCACTTGGGCTGTTTCCATATCTTAGCTGTTGTAAATAACGCTGCTATGAACATAGAGGTGGAGAAATTCTTTCTGATTAGTGTTTCAGGAATCTTAGGCTATATTCCCAGAAGTGGAATTGCTAGATCAAGTGGCATTTT